TTTAATTAATAATAAATGGTAATAAAAATAGTTCAATAATAATAAAAAGATGCGGAAAAGTTTCTCTGCGTTCTGACTTTTTTGTTTAATGGTTATTATGTGTATGATATATTTCAGACATTTTCACGTTACGCCAAAAATTGATATCGAACAAATATAAAAAAGTAGGATAAAACTATTACATTCGATAATGGCTATTATGTTACTTTATGTTGAGTTTTTGACGAAAACAGATAAGAATTACTAAATAGAATGTTAACCTTGAAAATGTAATTGTTACATTTTCCAAGTGTTTAGTACTATGATAGTAAAATAATAATAAATTCCGTTTTTTAGTAACAATAAATTGCAATTATTCAGAAATAAAATTTATATTTGTCAAAGAATAATTGTGAGAAAAATCGATATGGATATAAGTGGTAGGTATTTAATTATACTTTAACCTACCAAATTAAAATATCTCTTTAAGGTATGCGACACGAGTATAACACCAGAATCAATTTACTTTTAGAGGAAAATCTGCAGTCGAAAGATCCCTTTGTTATTTTTGATCAATGGTTTAATGAAGCAAAGAAATGTGATAAAATAATTGAGCCGAATGCTATGTGTCTTGCTACTGCTAATAAGTGATACAGTAAAAAATACATTTATATGTTTATGGTTTATAACTTCTTCATTTTTTACAGGAATAGTGTACCTTCTGCAAGATTTGTTCTTTGTAAAGGTTATGGAAATAAAGGCTTCAAATTTTTCACTCATTATACTAGTAGGAAAGGACAGGAATTGGTAGTATAATAATTATTTAATAATATCTGTACTTATCATAACCCTGTACTCTAGGAGGAAAATCCACAGGCAGCCTTGACATTCTATTGGGCTCCATTTAGTAGATCGGTAAAATCTTGTTCTTTTAATATATTAATTACGCATGACATTAATTATAACACATGCTAACAATTGATTACAATTTACTGTAGTATATTTTTTGCGAGTGAAAGGAATTACCTTGTGGATAACCTTTAAGCTTCATTTATTATTTTAATAAATGAAAATAAATTAACCGCAGTAAAATAATTAACTTCTATTCTGTTACAAGGTATTAACTAATCTTTCAAATTGTCCCATCTCATAGCCATTAGTATGATACAGTGTCTAAATAGCACATGTAATTTTTTTTTCACAATTTTGTTTCTTTGAGTGTTTTGTTTTTATTGTTTTTTCAAAAATTCATTTTTTAATTTAAACCATGAATAAGGTGTAATATAAAATGTCTCAACAAGTTTTAATAAAAAATATGAATTATATGTAAATCTGAAGAAGTTGAAGGGAAAATTAAGGGCAACTGCAAAACTACTATAATTACAATAACTTTGTAGAAAGAAATGAGACTTATTAGAAAGTAGGGGAATGTATTCAACTGTTGGTTTTAGTATTTTTTTAATTGCTTTATTGAAGTTTAAAGATATCAATTGGAATGTTCCTTTTTCTCAATAAAACGGATCTTTATGTTTTTGGAATACTTTATTTTTTCTTATATAACCTTATTTCTAAGATTCTTTTGTTTTAAAAGTAATTCTTCAATTATCTCATTATAATTCCCCTTTATAGCCTTTTAATATTTCCAGTACAAGTAGATGTTTTCTTATTATCTGTTCTATTTAAAAAGAAACGCATCTCGTGAATTTAAATCTTTATATATAATTTCTTCGTAGAATTCTGTACTTTATTAATATAACATTCAGTATTGTTACGTTTAGCTGAAATATTTTTTCATGTCATGATCTACTCTTGCGTGTAAAAAAACTTAATATACATTTTACAATTAATAATACAAACTATAGGTACGGATTGAAGGTGTTATAGAAAAACTTCCGTTTTCTGAAGCAGATGAATATTTTAATGCTAGACCATACCAAAGCCAAATCGGTGCACTTTGTAGTGATCAAAGTAAACCTATTGAGGGTAGACATGTTTTGGCCAATTTAGAGAAAGAACTTAGAGCTAAATACAAAGAGGGCGAAGTACCAAGGCCAAAAATGTGGTAATAACATTTTTGTAGACTAGTATGTTTAGTTTAAATCATCAATTTAAAATTCAGGGGTGGATATTTGTTGGTTCCGAAATCTATTGAATTTTGGCAGGGACAAAATGACCGAATTCACGACAGGATTAAGTTTATAAAACCAATAAATAATGAAGTAACTGGAGAAAAATATTTACATGAAGGAGAGAATGGATGGTACTACCACAGATTAGCCCCTTAAGATTATTAGTTTTTTCAAATTATTATGTGCAATTCCTTGTCAATGTGAATAAGATAGTATTAGAAAAAGAAATTAAAAATTTGCTGTAATAATTAAGAATATAGTGTAATAAATGAGTAACAGATACAGGGGTTTGTTTGGAGTCATATAAAAGTGAAAGTATATTGGGACTGATAAACTTAATTCTGCCATCTACTTGTATTGTGTAGTTATAGTTATTTAAGAATTTTTGAATGCATAAAATTACTGAAGTTAACACTAATGCATCAACTGTTANTTATCTATGGAATAGTACCACAGAATACAATTTAAAGTGTTTTTTGAAAGAGTGGCAGTTATAAAAGGGAGGGGACATCAATTTTCCAATGTTTTCAATGATGTGAAACGTTGTTCAACACAAAATGGACAGAAATTTATTGATTATCATTTTTGCCGCTGCGTTTATTGCTAGTCTTATGTTTACATCATAATTTCAGTAAAAAAAGTTTAGTGAAAATTGTTTTGGGTACGAAACTGTTTTTATATTTTTTTATTTATTTAAAATAATTAAATTTGGTGTATTTACCAAACGCGCGAGTTGTGATTGCTATTTAAAATAACTCATTTCAAATGCAATTGTATCGCGTTAGTAACAGATTTTGACGACTGTGACGTTTATTATTGTATATTTTTAAATTATTCTGAAAGATATATCACATTTATTTTAAAAATTTTAACGAAAAACGAAAGTAGAGATGGCTTCTGCAAGTTCAGTAAGTACCTACATAATATTCAGTCCTTTGTTTGGTTATTTTAGCTCGCAGCAGAGCAATAGTTATACAGTGGTTGTATTTGTAGATGTCTAATAATGTAGAAAATTTATCACCACAAATCATACGAGGAGTTGTAAAAGAAATGCAGGAATTAGTAGGCTGTCCACCTGAAGGAATAAAAGTTCAAATCAATGAAGAAGATGTTACTGATATACAAGCAGTTATTGAAGGCCCTGCTGGTAAGTAAATCATTAAAATTGTATAAATAAACAAATGGACGATTTATTTTAAGATAAATTCACTTGGCTAATTTACTTGGTTCAATCTTTGTTTTCGAAACAGATGGAAGCTTTTCTGATAGCACCTTTAGGTGATTATTTTTTTCCAATCCCAAAAACAAGACTTTATTTCAAACTACATTAAAAGCACACCAACTTGAAGTAATGAATAATGAAATAAATAAAATATGTACATCACAGCAATTTTTTAATAGTTTGTAATGTTTATACAAGCAGATTTTCATTACTGGCACTAAGATTAGGTAACGATTTGAATATGTATTTGGTCTTAGATTTTGAGTGATTTTTTTGCTTGGTAACTCTATTACTGCCCTTATTCATGTTTGTATCTAAATCCAATACTTCTCGAATATTAAGTTCAAGAGCATCAATAGAACTTTCACCAGTACTTCGTGAATCAGCATGAGTTTCTTTGCTAGAACCTGGTTGAGTGTGAACCTCCTCAGAAAATTGAAAAACAGAACTTGTGCTCATATAAGTTGGTGAATTATCTTCTTCTAAGGCAGCAGAATCTAAATCTGTAGTGTGTGACAGAGGCACATTATGATACTGATTGGGGCATTCAACATTTGCAACAGTCTGTGTGCTATGATAGTCTGCACTAGAGAGATTAATTTGTTCTAAATTTTGATCAGGTTGTACCAAGGACAGAGCAACTTTTTCATTTTCAGGTGCATTTTGAACAAGTATAATTCGATTGTGTGCTTTCCAACGTGAAAATAATTGTAAATATTGTCGACACTGGATATACATAAATACAGCACCACCGCTAAATCCCACAGCCACTACAACTAACTTTGTCCAGAAGGGCCACGCAATTAACCCTTTTTGAACTTCCTCTGTTGCCCTGTCAATAAGTACAAAAAGTGACCAGATAACACATATGGCAGCAACAAAATGAAATAGTATGGCACATAGTAGTCTTCTTCTTTCAACACCTGATAATTCCAGTCTTCTCCATTCTCCTATTGGTTTAATCTTTGTATGAAGAATAAAATTAAATTTGCACAATTCACAAGAGCGAATATCCGATGCTGCTAACCATTGTTGTAAACAAGATTGGTGTACATATTTTAAACTACCAGAACAATAGCACGGTGAAAGTAAAGGGTTTCCAACATCAGCTTCGCAGTGACATATTCTACAAATATCGCTGTTCGAACTCGATATATTTAAACCTGATCCGATTCCTGGACGTTCTTCTTTCTTTGAATTATAATAACTGCTGCTCGATTCAAAATCAAGAGGTTTAACCTTAATGAAATGATCAGGCATGTCAATAATCCCTTCAATTTTTTTATTGGGAGACAAATTGTTAGAATGATAAGTTATTTTCTTTTTCTATCACGGTTCCCATTAAGGTTATCCAAACGTCAAACTTATATTTTGGTAGTTTTATAAACAAGCCTGTGTACACACCAACATTATTACTATTTAAATAAGGATCATTTCACATTTAATAGTTTCACTCAGTTTCTTAATATGAATATTTATACGATTTCCAATTTCTTGCTAATTTCTAATAAATATGAGAAGTATGGGAAATTGCCTGAAATTTTGACAATCATTGAATGTAGCCCATAATGTAGCCATAGACAAGAATGTCCTACATTATTGTTACCATAGATAATTGTTACCGATTCTTACATAGACATATATTAATGGACGTGCCTTAGTCGTATATCGTTGTAATAATTTCTTGGCTCGAAAAGTGAGGGAGATGGCTTATGGTTTCGGACTAGTGCTATCTCTTTCATGACACGCGTACACACTATCGTGAGAGAGATGGATATTGTCTGAAACTTCGTTTCATCTCTTTCTTTTGTTGTACCACAATTCTGGCCACTGAGGCATGTCCATTAGTAAACGTCGAGGGATTCTTACTTCTGACATGTTCTACCATAATTGCTCTATAGTTTTTACCAAAGCGAACAGATGGAGTAGTATGGTATATTTTTACAATATTTAATAAATGATTAAAATTAACATGAGTTTTAAGTACGAAAGTTAGATCTATCTATGGCAGTCTATGTATTCTCCCATAATTTTCATTATTAGTCTGTTACTATTATCATTCTGCTCGATAATCAGGGAGTATTGACGAGTTATGGCATTCTCAAAAACTTAAAAAAACTTGTGCACAACATTACTTGCTAAAAACTAAAGTAAAGTAAAACGAATACCAAAATCAGGATTTATCTATGGAATAGTACCACAGAATACAATTTAAAGTGTTTTTTGAAAGAGTGGCAGTTATAAAAGGGAGGGGACATCAATTTTCCAATGTTTTCAATGATGTGAAACGTTGTTCAACACAAAATGGACAGAAATTTATTGATTATCATTTTTGCCGCTGCGTTTATTGCTAGTCTTATGTTTACATCATAATTTCAGTAAAAAAAGTTTAGTGAAAATTGTTTTGGGTACGAAACTGTTTTTATATTTTTTTATTTATTTAAAATAATTAAATTTGGTGTATTTACCAAACGCGCGAGTTGTGATTGCTATTTAAAATAACTCATTTCAAATGCAATTGTATCGCGTTAGTAACAGATTTTGACGACTGTGACGTTTATTATTGTATATTTTTAAATTATTCTGAAAGATATATCACATTTATTTTAAAAATTTTAACGAAAAACGAAAGTAGAGATGGCTTCTGCAAGTTCAGTAAGTACCTACATAATATTCAGTCCTTTGTTTGGTTATTTTAGCTCGCAGCAGAGCAATAGTTATACAGTGGTTGTATTTGTAGATGTCTAATAATGTAGAAAATTTATCACCACAAATCATACGAGGAGTTGTAAAAGAAATGCAGGAATTAGTAGGCTGTCCACCTGAAGGAATAAAAGTTCAAATCAATGAAGAAGATGTTACTGATATACAAGCAGTTATTGAAGGCCCTGCTGGTAAGTAAATCATTAATAGAAGGTATTTTTTATCTTAAAAAGAATGTTCAATGCTTAGGAACTCCTTATGTAAATGGTTTATTTCGTGTAAAACTGGCATTGAGTAAAGATTTTCCTCAGTCTCCTCCAAAAGCATTTTTCTTAACAAAAATATTTCATCCAAATGTAGCAGCAAATGGAGAGATATGCGTTAACACACTAAAAAGGGATTGGAAACCAGATCTCGGTATTAAACATATACTTCTTGTAAGTAAATGCTTAAGTAATTACTTTAGTAATTTTGTAATGCTGAATTCATTTGTAGACAATAAAATGCCTATTAATTGTTCCAAATGCAGAATCAGCATTAAATGAAGAAGCAGGAAAACTTCTATTAGAACATTATGATGACTATTCCCAAAGAGCCAAAATGATGACTGAAATTCATGCTCAAGTGAGTGGCGATATCATTTTTTTAAATATAAATTATTTTAATAAGATTATTTTAGCCTCAGAAATCACAAAAAATTGGAGTTGTGGAGGGCCCATTAGCAAAAAAACATGCTGGTGATAAAAAATTATCAGCTGAGAAAAAGAAAATTCTTAAAGAGAAGAAAAGAACTCTAAAACGTTTATGAGAATCTGTTTAGTTTATTTTTTAATGTGAGTTACACTTTTAGGTTTTAATTTTATCTTTGATGGCCATTTCTCTTTTGCAATACATTTTAAGCCGATAATAGTATTTATTTACTGTATCAGCAAATATGTTTTTCTAATTTAATTTTTATACTTGAAATGTTTAATTTTTTTGAGAGAAAATTTTGTATTGAATTTGTGCTGCATTTAATATATCATGACCATTGTATTAATTAAAAGCAAAAGTTAATTAAGATTTCAGTTATGAGCATACAAGGAAAATAAATTACTCCAAAACTTCACCAATGTTTTTGATAATGAACAGATAAAGGAATTAGAATTAAAATTTGAATCTTCATGACAGATCAATTTCAAAAATAGGTTGTATATAGATTGTTTAGTTAAAATAAAAAATAGGAAAGCATTTTAACTAGCAAAAAATTAAAAAGGGAATATACGAAGCTTTTTTTAATCCTAAACTTCTCAATTTTTTTATGATGAGGGTTTAACGGAATCAAAACAAAAAATATTGTTATATAAAGGAGATGAAAATATGTTAATGTTTATATAAGAGATATTCGTTTATTTGAGAGATACACAGGCTTTATGTGGTAAACAGGTACATGATTTTTAATCATGTCCACCAGAAGGGATATAAACAATTTTTATTTGGTGGTGTATAAATAATATAATAGAAATAACAAAATGAGACAGTTAAGATTTTGAGGTAAGTTTATTAATACTTAAAAACCGCATTAGAGACTTATTCCGTTTAATATGACATACAATTTCAAACATGAAACGAAAACATAAATTAAAAAGATCTAAACAAAATAAGTAGGTTATCTTAATTCTCTATTTTTTTTATCATCCCTTAATTTACCACCTTTCAGGGTGGGACCACCCTTAAGATGTAACTTATCCAATAAAAAATCATTTAATTAGTTCACACTTGGCGAAGAACATATAAAAAAATACAGTCAAATTGAAAACCTCCTCTTATTTAAAGTTGGCTGACAACAAGGAAAGGTTTTAATGTGATAACGTAATTCACTCACTAAACTGAAGAAACTCTGCTTAAAGGGAATGAGTCAATATAACGAACAAAATATAATTATTAAAAAAAAATGTTACAGGTTTCTAACGTTTAATGTTTGAATCGCTTCGATTTGATATATCTTTTTCGTTTTCGTATATTTTTATTAATCGTTTCTCATGAACAAGTCATTGTAGTTTTTGGGTTTAAAAAGCTTTGATTGTCATGTATGGTTTAAATAAGTGTTGAGTGTAATATATGGAAGTATTTGACTCATTTATTTTTAAATTCCGCGCTCTTTTGCTTGTGCTTCTAATTTTTCGAATAAGTATTTATTTAGTTGAACTCCTTGACTTTCCAGATGACCTTTCGAATTCACTGACTGTTGCTGATGACCTTGATTTTCCTTCACTTTCCGGATAGTATGGTGGAAACTGTCTACTTTTAAAGTATGACTTTGTGCGGGTGCGAAACGTGAGCGGTGGACGTGACGAAAAGAAAAAAGTTATTAGAAGCATATGTAAGGTGGTGTTATAGCAGGATGATAAAAATACCGTGGATAGATAGTTAAAAATAAAGTGTTCGAAAATACAGAATAGAGTTTTTATAGAACTCAACAAGTAAGCATATCCTCTGAGACATGGAGGGCTAGTTAGGAAATAGTAGAAGCAGAAACAAGGGTAAATATTAAATTGCTGTTAAGAAGTGGATAGGGATGTGGGATGTTGTAGATTTCAAAGATTAACTCAGAATATGAAGAGCACGTATCCAACCATTCTTTCAAACGACGAGTTCAGGATGGTGGACTTAATAAAAAAATTAGCAGATATAATTAATATTTACGATATAAAACCGAAAACTACACAATAAAAGGAGAACTGAAATTAATTACGTTCAGATTTACTTTTATAATATATATACATAAAATTGGATGTTTCTTTGTTTTTCCATTCATTCAACTGCAATGAAACTTTATTGAGTTGTTATCTTAAGGTAACGAGTTTTTAACATCAAAATATATTAATAAT